GTAGGGGACATACCCCCCCCCCCAAAAAAAAGTGTCCCAAATCCAAAAACTCCTCGGATTTCGATTCCTTACGGGGAGGAGCCTTTTGCGTGCTCCTTTTTTTGATTTCTACTGCTGAACAGTAAAAAGCAAAAAAAAAAAATCCTGATAAAAGTGTTATTATTAGGAAACATAAGGTACGTTTTGTCTATTTCGGGCGATGCAGGGGCCAGGGGGAGGGGGAGTAAATATTTGCTTTAAATGCCCGCTCCCTGGATCCGCCAGTGGACGATGTAACGCTTTTCGTATTGCTGTACCTATTAGAAAAAAAGCTCCAATGGGAAAAATTGTGCCATAACCCGATCGCATATCAGATGCTGAAGAACGGTGCCAACCCTTTTGAAGTAGGGGAGAGTGGGGTAATTTGGCCGCTTTTTTAGAAAACGATATAACTTAAAAATGACGACACATTTCTGCATTTTCTCAACGCTGACAGGTGTCGCATTCATTTTACTTTACTGGACAGTGAACTTGAAATGATAGAGTAATTACTTATATTGAAATTGTGACGTATTACAAAGGTCTGCAAGGCGGCCAAATTGCCCCACTAGCAGGGTTATTTGGCCGGGGGTGTGGGGCAATTTGGCCGGTGTTAGTTTCAGGCCATGATTTTTGTTATAGGCGAGTCAGCTTCACATCCAGCAATGACGCGTGTCCTACGACGCATTTGAAGCATTTTGGAGGTTGACTCAGCCGTCACAGGGGTCGAAAATAGTCAAAATAGCGGCTCTAAATGCGATGACTGTTTTTTTACGAATAACTTTTGAAGTAATCAAGCTAGGCCAAAACTTCGAGTACCATCGTAATTCTCTCGTCAGTCCGCATCGAAAGATATATGTGTTGACCTTGAGAAGTCAAGGTCAAAGGTTGACCTCAGGTCACGTTGCATCAGGTCGCTTGACCTCAAGGTCACGTGATTTCAAGGTCATCATGCATATCATTCGATGCGCCTTGGCGAGCTGAACAGAATGAGACCATTTGTGCGGCTGTACCATTTTTATGTAAGAATTTATTAGCAAAAAACCTTTGATAACCTTTGATGACGTCACATGCTCTTACAGTTGACCAATCGGAAGTAAGGCATCAAAGTAGTCAAAGTTGGTCATGAATCATGTCATTTCTGGTACAATTGACCATGAAAACTCGGCCGTCCCAGCATAGTGACCATGAGCGCACCGGCCAAGTTGCCCCGCTAGTCCCGGCCAAATTACCCCATATTGCCATTCTGAAAATTTTTGTCTATTAAGTCATCGCGGCTTTACGGAATTAGATAAAATTGCTCTTGGAACCGCTGAACACCCCCAAGAATGGCGCTATAATGTCTGAATTCGTTTTTAGCCCAAATACTACATGTTATACAACTTTATAAACAGAAGTAAAAGTTACCATTTTCTAATGAAATTAACGTTTTATTAATTTTGAATAAAACTACGAGGGGCAAGGTTTTGACATTTGTCCTCCAGTTATTTCTACCCATGACAAATGAATAGAGACTAGAGTTATTTCACTCACTTTTATTAGACATCGTACAGGTGGGGGCGGCCAATTTACACCACCGGCCAAATTACCCCACTCTCCCCTAGGCGAGCGCTATTCTTCAATGAGGTAACTCGTTACCATTTCCTCTGTTCATTTTACGTTCGATTTCCGTTTAACCTTCCTTTAAAAAGTATTTCTGAGACAGATGAGGGAGCGCGGCGGCGGGCTGGAGTGAAGGAACGGTGGCCTGGAACGAGAATCCAGAAGCTCTGGGTGGGGCGTTTCTTTATTAGGGCTTTAGGGTGCGCTGACTGCGGTAAGGTTCAAATTATCACACCAAATTTTGCCACGACATCTACCGGTTCAGGCACTCGAGAATCAGCGGCCAGTGATATCTGCAAAGACGAAGCATTTCCAACCCAGCTTCAGCCTGGTGTCAGGGCGCCTCAGGTGGCTTTAATTACAGTTGCACATACCAAACGACCTCAGTGCAGCCAGTCTGTGGCCGAAACCATTCGGAACAGACTTCAACGAAAAGTGAGACAAGGTTAGTGCTATCGTTAAGTGCCATTATAGACTTGGGCCCCGTTGGCTTGACCCACTGGAAGGTGGTAGTTATCAGACGCTGCAGGGCATACTCATTTTTCCCAAATGCCTTAGATTTTGCTTTCGTGCTCCTAGGCGGCGGAACGGGGAGGGCACCGGGGCACCGTGCCCCCTTTGATTTTGGCATTTTAACGTTAGCGCTATGGGCGTTGCATGGAAAGAATGGGACCAAAAGTCGGCAGTGCCCCCCCTCCCCCTTAATTGAAGGTGTTCCGCCGCTACTGTTCGTGTTTGATGCTCTTTATTCTATAGCCAGCTTTTAGACAGATGGGGCCCACTTATGAGCAGTGCCCTAACCCTCAAAAGTTTCCAACATTAATTTTTACTTTTTTAACCCGCGCCCCAGTGGCGGTCTCAGCCAACTTCGCCCTAGTGGGGGGGGGGGGGGGGCATATGTTACCACCCAGCTCTAACTCAAAAACTAAGAGGGCTAGAAAGACGCGGTAAAAAGCAGTCGATAGCTCTTAATGCGTACGTTTGAAAGTATTTCAGTCATTTTTCATCTTAGAGCAATATTGGGGTCACCAGAGGTCATCAAAGGTCAAAATTTGCCAATAGTCATTATATTTTTCAGAAAACATGCCGTTATCTCAGGAACTATGGTAGCTAGAAAAACGCATGGAAAATCAATCGACAGCTTTTGAATTTTGCTTTTGATAAGGTCATCATCAAAATTGACCTCAGGTCAACGGTTTAGCCTCCAGAGGGCAAAAACTCCGAAAATAGCTGTTTTTACGAAAAGTGTTTTTCGACAATAACTTGCGACTACAAAAAGCCACGACATTTCTATTGCCAGAATCTTGTTCCTCTCGCCGAGACGCGTCGAATGAACTATAACGTGACCTTGAAAGGTCAACTTGAAAATTTGACCTCAGGTCAAGGTCATGACCTGACCGGAAAAGGTCATGTTGCATATCAGTCGATGCGTCTCGGCAAGACAAACACAATGAGACCATCCCCAGCGATCTATCTCTTTCCAATCGCGAGTTATTGGCAAACATCTGTTTGTAGCCTCAAATGACCTCGGATGACCTTTCTAGAGGCTATTAGCAAAAATGACACCTTGGTCATTACGGGTGGTCCAAATCATTGTGATTCTGAAATATTTGGACTGTTCCTATGCGTACACACGGATCTAGAGGCATTTTCATTTTTCTCCATTGACTTGTAATGGAAAGGTCACGCCACTGCCCTGACCTTAGGTCACGGATATAAAAAATCCGAGATATACAAATTGTAGGCGCCCATAACATCATGCAATCCACCAAGTTTAAAACCTTTCTGACAAAAACTGCAGGCTGGACATGATTGCAAACTTTTTTTAGGCTTGGTCAGTTAACTTGACCTGGTGACCTGACCTGACATGACCTGGGGTCAAAAATTTCACACATTGTCCAAAATTGATGTACTAAAAGCTACCCCAAGCGGCGCGGCGCTACGCGCCGCGGTTTTTTATTTACACGCAAAAAACGCGACAGGGTGGTAACATATGCCCCCCCCCCCACTGGGGCGAAGGTTAATAGTGAAATTTAAATAAAGCGGATACTGAACTGTGAACATCCAGTGTTTACACTGGCCCCACACCAGCCTCCGAATGCCCAAAGCAGATCTCTGATGACTGGCCTTTGGGTGTCATACCATACCGTGCATTGGTCAATGTGGTAAATGTGTACGACCTCGGCGTTTACCATTTTATGCGCTGGAAACTGTTGCGCTCGAAAAAAATCCGGGGAGTGGCTTATTATGAGCGCTCATTAGTCCTAACTACCCGCAAGCGAATGGCTAGCCCTTCCGTCTCCGCTCGCTTGCGATTTGGCATTTATGTAGGTACAAAATAGCGGCAAACAGCCACTGAAGGTATGAGTTGCGTCTCTTGCACACTTAAAATATCTCTAAATCGAATCTGAAAAGAAAAGAAAAATGATATAAAGCGGAAATGGTTAGCATTCACACATACCTATTCAAAAGGCACCGTTGGACAAACTGTAGGAGCGCATAGCTGCAATATCAGGTTATGGAAATTTTCCTCATGTTTAGGGCACAAATTATGGAGGGGCAAAAATATACTTTTGCCCCTCCTCCAAAAGTTTCTTAGGGGACGATGCCTCCTCTGCCACCCCGTAGGTATCCGTCGCCCCTGTAAGCGATCACTGAAGGCCTGGGTTGCCGCTGCGTCACGTTGACGCTTATAATGCCTCTAAAACTAGGTTGAAGAGAGGAAAACTTCAATTGAACGCGAACGCTTGCCATTTAAGAAAGGCAACGTATGATAAAGTATATGGGCATCTGGTTACATCTTCAGATGATCGAACAGCATAATCAGGTATATGGTTTCTTGTCTAAGCTTTGTCACAAATTATGGGGGGGGGGGCAAAAAGATACTTTTGCCCCCCCACGAGTTTGCCAGGGGGGGCAGCTGCCCCCCCCCTACCCCCCCGAATCCGCCGCCCCTGGTCAGTACCCTGCCCGTGATCCGCCAGTTGATAGGCCCGACATGTTTGTTTGTTTGTTTTGCTGGGTTAGGCCCTTTCGATCCAATTAGACCATTTCAGAGCCGGCTCGACATGTCATAAGCACTTATTCTTATTCTTTTTCCCTAAAACGATCTTGAGACTTTTACAAGGTAGAATTCTCAACAATCGTTCAGATATCCCTAGTTTTCATTTTTAGTCGCTAGAGTAACGTGAATCAACAGCATAGAGTTGAGAATGTGCTTTTGCTACGTAAATAATAAAATGATTTTTTTTCCATTCGTAGGTTCACAACAGCAATGAAGTAATATTCTCATTAAATCTCTCTTTCTAGTCATTGTAAAACGAAATATAAAAGTACTTGAGACGATCAGCTGTCCATGGCGCGTAAATGGCGCGGCCATTGGTCGACAAATGTAAACAATGCGGTTTTGAAGTGGCCGTTTCAGGCAAGGCCCTAAAACATAGTTTCAAACATAGGTTTCAGGTTTCAGGGTATATTGAGTGAAGGCCGTTTAGTGTATGCAATTGATGCAATTACCAGTTAGTTTTCATAAGTGAGGATGTCATATGAGCCTTCCTGATGTTATTACCGCCCGCATGTAATCGTAAGTTTTATTTTAAGTCTTTTTTTTTAAAAAAATCCCTGATTGAATGATTTGAAACGTTTTTTTTTAGCATGATTCACTTTTTTCAGATTATAATTATTGTCGATTCCACTGAGGAAGATCCAGCACCGAAAATGTACCTATTTCGGATTTGTTTTTGGCGTACTTTAGTTATGAGCAAAAGGTTACAGTTATTATTAACTATTTGTGCAAGCAGAATTCCTGAATGATCTATGCACTGCTCGATGAGAACGAGACAGTCACTGTCACAGTCAGGCCCAGTGGCCTACACAATTTCAGAATATGTTAGGGGGTATGGTATGGTGTGGTACGGTATGGTCTGAATATTTCTGAAGTTCAGCTGAAGCTCAATAATGTAAAAGCTGATTGTATGTGTCATGGTAACATTGACTTTATGGTTTCAGTATTAACGTAGTTTCATTGCAATTTGTACTTTGTAGTTTTCTAAATACTAGGTAGGTATTCAAGCTTGCTAGAGCTAGAAATGTACTAGTAAGTAGTAGGTAATAATGGTACATCAGATGCCAGCTTTTTGTTTTGTATTTATCTTGGATCTCGGAGTTGTATCCGTTCTCAATGCTGTAGTATAATTGTTGATTGCAAGTTGCAAGCATGCTTTAAAGTTTTAATTGTTTTTCTTGTGTAGGTAATTTTTCTAAAATGTTGAACTTTTATGCACACCTATGGAAGAGAAGAAATAAGTTGAAATGGATTCTCATTGATGGCTCTAAATGGATAATAAACACTGTTATCATGGGAAATTAAAAATTTGAGATCATGCTATCTGAATGCTGTTTGAATGCTCTTATATCAGCAAGCTACCAGTTTACTAGTGCTTTTTTTAGCTGCTAATTAGTCAGCTTCACCTGGTCTGTGCAGTGCACCAGGTGAGTGACAAAGAAACACGAGCAACGAAATACTGTGCATGTGAAACCTGTCAAGCAAGGCTGCAAGCAATTCTCAGACAGTAAATGGTAAAATCAGATGCCTGCTGAGTGCTGGTAGTTTTGGACTATTGCTCCATCTCAATCTTGAAGTCTGCCTTCACTATGCTTGATGAATTCATATTTCAAGATGGACTGCCTGAACTGTCCACATGCATCTGTATTTATCATCCACCCCCAGGATGGCAATTTGCAGACAAGGGCCCTGTTTGGTCGCAGCTTTTTATCAGCAGGCTGCGAGCACACTGCTATTTGTTGGCTCCTCATTGGTCAAATTCACATAGTTTCTTTATTTGACCAATGAGAGGCCAAGAAGCACCAGCAATAACTTCCTTATAGGTATGGAAAAACCGACAGCATGCTGACAAAAAAAAAACAGCGACCGAACAGAGCTCTGAGCTCTGTTCGCCCCCGTTTATTTATCAGCAGGCTGCGAGCATGCTGCTCATCTCATCTAATTTATTTTCGACAGAAAAAGACAAAATAAGTACAAAAGTGAAACAAATAGGATTGGTGCAAAAGCGCAACGCTTAAATCAAGGCACCTCTCCTTAAAATAAACGAGGTTACAAAACATGACACCGCCGGGATCAACAAAGTGGGCCAACAAAGTGTGAACTAACTAAAAGTACAATAAAGGTGAGCGATCACTCCTCCGCTGAGTCAGCCGTGCTACTTCTTGGTTCCTCATTGGTCGAATTCAAGTGGTTTATTCGTCAGACCAATGAGAGGCCAAGAAGCGCCAGCAATAACTTCCTTATATGGGGAAAACCGACAGCAAGATGATATAGAAATTGCGACCGAACAGAGCTCTGGTTTCTTCAGACTTTGTGCATTTGAATTGCATGTTTAGCCCTTAAAATTACATTTATTCAATTCGACACTAAGTTTTTATTTATATTAAGGGCTAACTTTCCCAATTGTTCATTTGCTACCTGCTATCCATCAACTTCAATGTAGATAATAGGTACCTACTTTGTGTTTTGAAATAGAGCATCTAATAATCCTATGATTATCTGAAGCTGGCCTGCCTTTGGGCTGATGGGCACAAAATGACCTTAGAAGTCAGTGTGCCCCCCGCCCTAAGGCCCTAATAAACGAACAACAACAAGCCTTTGGGCTGCTTTTTGATAAAGATTGTTATTTTTCATCGGGATTCTTTTTACAAGCATCTGTGTTCCAGATCATGGGCCATCAAATTGTGTATAAGATATGTATACTAGAATTTAGGTTTGACTCGGTGGTGGGTACACAATGTGTAATATGTATTTGGTGTCCACATCAATCATATGGTATTACTGCCCTGGATTGAATATGTCAAGGGATAAAGCTGATTGAATCATGGTTCGGCCAAGCTAAGCCCAGCAGCATGGGCCTTCTAAGGTCATATCGGGGTCCTCTGAGACCAGCTTAGGCCCTCTGAGGAGTGAGGACAATGTGGGGCTCTCTTAGGCCTGCATGGGGCCCTCTGATGCCAGCACAGGGTCCTCTGTGGTAAGCGCAGGGCCCTCTGAGCTTGAGACCATCAGCATACATCAGCTCTGACATCAGTCTTGGGCACTCTGCGGCCAGTGTGCGGCCCTCTACCCTCTGACTTCTGAAGCTGGTGCTGGTCCCTCAGAAGCCAGCGCGGGATCTTCAGAGGGAGCATGGGGCCCTCAGAGGTCACCATGGGCTTCTAGAGACTGGCATGGGTTCTTTGAGAGCCGTGTGGGGCCATCAGAGGCTGACTCAAGGACTCAAAGGGGGGGGGGGGGGGCTGAGGTCAGCATGGGCCTTATGAGGCCATCGTAGGACCTCGATGCCGGTGTGGGGCCTTCAGAGGCCTCATAGGTCGGAGTGAGGCCCACGAGAGCGTCATGGAGCCATCAGGGCTAGATCATTTGCCCTCATTACCCGAGCTGGGCCTTCCTTAAGCAGGGTATCAGCCTTCCTTTCATTCTTGGACCACTCTTGAAGATGCATTATAAAGTATTTCCATAGAATAAATGATTAAGCTCGGGTGAGCAATTTTACAATTTGTGCAGTACATGTTGATTGCTCTTAGGCACCAGTACAACTCCCCCCCCCCCGTTTTCCAGATCAAGTGCTGAACGAATCCTGCCTTGGCCTCTGCTGCTGAAGTCCTCGCCTCTGTATTAAGGTGAGTCTTCTCTTGCCAAACCACCACCAGCATGCATACTGAAAACTAATCTACCTGTATTTTTTTTTCTTTTCAGCTGGTCAAGACCAAAAGTCTCAATAGTTCCATTTGCCTTTTACCTCATGCCTCATTTCTCATACCTACCTGTGTTGCTGTGGTGGAATTTTGTTGACTCATCTTCTGTTGTTGGTTTGTCTGAGAGTGGTATCATCAAGATTGTTTTCCATCCTCTGTGTTTGTGCTGCAAACTTGAAGACAGAAATGCTTGAGCTGCGTTGCAAGCTACCTTTGAGTTACATTTAAACCCATTCCATCTGTTGAATGGCTGCAGCTCAAAGAAAGAATAAATATGGTGAGATCCGTGTGAGCCCATGCTGTTCTGAGCCCACATCTATGTCCTCGGAGCCCTGGATAACTTAGTTATCTGTAGGTTTGGGTCCGTTGCACGTGCAGAGACCTGTGGGTCCATATGGAAGTCGATACCTATTCTAGAGGCCATCACATTTTCCAAGGCCAATTTATCGTTCAGCGCCGTCTGCCCGTCCCCGACCCGAGATGGTTTCATGAAACAGAAGGACCTCTCCGCTCTAGCTCCGTCTGGTGGAAAGCAAAAGGACTGAAGGTACCAATCGGAACCTTTCGCAGCGGTGATTAGACTAGATATTTGCTGCTTATCGGCCTTATCACGTGTAGGATTGTCTGGGAAAAGCCGATGAATGGCGCTGTGTCACTCGCCAGGACTTCACTCCCGCACTTGAATCCTAAACTTGGCAGCTACCACTGGCAGTCGGCGGCGGGCCGTGTCCGCCCCCGCGGCCGGCAGCCGGCGCGACGCGTCACAATGGTCGCCATCGAGCGAGGCGCGTCACGACGGCCGCCGGCCCGCGTCACACCTGTGTGACTGCAGCGCCGATGGCGATCGCCATCACCGACAGGTGTTCCGGGTGGCGCCGCCGCGCGCCCGATCCGGGGTGATGTGGGCCTGCCGTCACACCTGGGCTGCCGGTGTGTAGGGCCGCGAGGGAGGAGGGTAGGGGCTGTCGTGCGGGAAGGGATGCAAAAACCGCCGTGGGAGGAGAGTCTTCCATGGGGGTGGGGACCTTCTGAGGGTGGGAGGGCCTGCTGAGAGTGGATGGTCTGCTGAGTGCTGAGAGTGGGAAGGTCTGCTGGGGGTGGCCTGCTGAGAGCGGGAGGGCCTGCTGAGAGTAGGATCTGGAGGGGGGGGGGGGACTGCTGGGAGTGGGAGGCCTGCTGGGGGTTACGACGGAGAACTGAGAGGACATGGGTTGTCGCGGGCGCTGGGTGGTTATGGAAGGACAGTTGCTGAAGGACTGGGTCTGTTGGCTATCAAGGAGGAGGAGGAGACAGGGTCTGCTGGCGGCCAGGGAAGCTTCCAGGTTATAGCTGGGGCAGTCGAGACCACCGCAACCGCCGAATCGCCGACCGAATCGCCACCGGGCGCCGATCGAACCGCCGCCCGCGCGTTGCGCTGCATGCTCTGATGGGTGTTCGATTTTTGAAGGCTGGGGTCAGTGTCTCGGTAATCCCGTGGTGAAGTTAGCTGGGAATCGATGGCTGGTGGAAGGGTTTGCCACTAGACCAAATAATCTTCACCGTTGACTAATATAACTCCAGGGCCTCGTTTCATAAAAGGAATTACTTACGGCGTTCCGTCAATTATGCCAGATTTGGCGTATTTGATGCCAATTCGGTTTCATAAAGCCGGAGACCGGAGTAATTCACGCCATCGAAATTACGGAGCTTCATTTACGGCAAATGCTCGATTCCGGACCAATTGATGCCATTTGGGTTTCATAAAACGACGTATATAACGCCAAATATTTTATCAAGTTCTTGATATCAGTGGTGTAAACTACGCACAAAAATGTTGCGTGAATTTGAATAAATGTGGAGATTCGAAGCTAATTTCTAATATATTTTATAATGTTGAGCCCGGTGAGGAAGAAAGAACAGCCAAAATGCGAAAAAGAAACTGCAAATCTTCTGTACCAGTCACTTTTTGTGGCCACTATCGGAATTTTGTTTATTCGCCGCGCCGCGCCACTTTCGTAGTTAGGCACTTCTGCTTAGCTGGCTTTCTGCTGTTTTCAATATATTGATTTAATAAAGGATGGTCATCAATATCAATTTTGTTTTTTCATAAATAATTTTTAAGATTTAAATTCAACATAATTGTTTTATAATTTCTCGTAAAAAATAAGTGTTGACATGTAATTGTAATTTGTAGGACGCTTGATAAATTACGGTAACTACGCAAATGTGCTTAGTTACGGAGGTGTAAACAATTCCAGTTGTGGCTTTGTGAAACGGCTTCATTTGCGCTCCGTAGTTTGAAAGGGTGTGAATTACGGAAAGGTGTAAGTTACGGCAGATTTTTATGAAACGAGGCCCTGGCCTTGAAACACGCTTTGGCGATAATCGCTGAATCGGCCCGGTGCCGCTCACCATGAAAATAGAGGGGGACACTTATCTACTGTTTTGTTCAGCTAATGCGCAAAAGCCATCAACACATGGTCTGGTGATGAAGAACACTCGAGCATTTGATCAAACGTCCTTCTGACGTAAAGGATGACATTGTTTCTTCCTGGCGTCGTCTCACGTTCCGCCGGCCCTGCTTGAACATGCGCCAAGCTGATGTACTTTGCGTTTACGGCACCCTCTGGGCTCTGCTACTACTGCTGCTGCTGGTAGTATTGCTGATGCTGCTACTGGTGCTGATGATGTTCCTGATGCCGATCGCTGACGGCCGTGGCCACGCCGTGTCCCCGTCGTGTCCTCGGCTTGTCAACAGCGTGTCACAGGCGAGCTCGGTGCGTGGCGGCCGGAAGCTCCTAACGACCGGGCGGCGGTGGCAGCGGCTCTGCTAGTCGGAGGGCTCGGCGGACGTGGCACCTCGGACAGATGCTATCTGACCGCGGGCCTTCCTGTGTCGGCGTTGTACGACTCACGTCTGTCCGTCGGAGCGCCGTTCGTAGACGATATCTAATGTTCCAGGTGCATTTGCATCCCTGGGATGGTTGTATGAAACTCCCTGAGAGACTCCCTGGGCAGATTAAAAAAACCCATTGATAAAATTTTCCTCCACGTGTCCCTCATTAGTTCTGACGATTGTAATGTTTTCATTCAATATACTTCAATTTTGCCAGTTGATTTGAATCTCTGGTTTGTTAGTTCGTAGAATTAACAGTTCCAACTGTTGATTTTCACACATTAGAAAATACGACGATGTCACATATATTTGATCAATTAAGAGGCTTATTTTCGCCGTTGCAGGCTTATCATGGCAGGTAAGCTGTCTGCATTCTTATCGCGGTGTCTCCGTTTAGAGATACTGTCATTGAATCAGTCGTTAACCAACGTCTGAAACGTCTCGGCAGGGAACGTGAAACTAACAATGTCTAAGCGACACGCAAGGCGAGTAGCTGATGAAGGATTTATCAATAACCTCGATTAGGGTCAATGCTTTTTAGATTGACACCGGATAGTGGGTATTTTTCGAAAGCGGAGAAGGCGTCGTTTGGTATGTAATTTATTTATATCTTTTGTTTCTGTCAGTTATAGCTTTTTAGCCGTGTACACTGTATTTACACGCGTCCATTTTCATGACTTGCTAAGGACTGCTGCTAGACTTGCTAGGCGGGACATTTGTTCCGCGACCTTTTCTGCGTTCTGCTGAGGGCGGTATATTTGTAAAATAGTCGTGAACTGTCCAGCGTTATGAAACCAAACGAATATGCTGCATTTTAAGGTTCGAGTGGCAGATACGTTTGCTTGTAAGACTGAATCGGCAATTTCATGGAATAGTTAACCAGGCTTTGAAATTTTGCCACTGTTTACGAGCGAGCGAGCGCAGCGAGCGAAGTGAGTCTTTTCAATATAACGGAAAAATCTCAGTATGAGCGGCCCGGCCCGGCCCGGCCCAGCCCGGCCCGGCCCGGCCCGGCCCGGCCTGTAACGCTTTTGAGAGGCTTATATCTCAGCAACCGCTGGACCGATTGGCCTGCGGTCTTTTTTGCTGGGTAGCCCCATTCCTTCTACCCCGTAATTGACTACTTTTGATACATCTCAGTGACCGTCGTGGCACGTGCCACGTGAAAAATCAAGGGTGTTCAAGCTGTTTTGCAAAAGTAGTGATTTTGAGAGGCCCATATCTCAGCAGCCGCTTGGGCGATTGTCTTGCGGTAATTTTCATAGGGTAGCTGTATCCCTTCTACCAAAGGTCGGATATTCTTGGTCTATGTGAGGGACTCCCACTGCACGTGCAAAATGCAAAAAGAAGAGGTGCCAAATTTGTTCCCATTTCAATAGCTCGGTAATTACTGGGGTGATTTCGCTAAAACTTGGCATACAGGTAGGCACCCACCAGGCAATGCATTCCCATGTGTTGCGGTTAGGGTGCTACTGCACGTGCGCACGTGCAGGGAGCGCTCCCAGATCTCGAGAACGGCTGGGCCGATTGCGCTCAAATTTGGTACACGGTTGGGGACCAGTTAGTAGGGTGCCGTGCAAAAGTCAGTTTGGACCCCTTTTGCACGTGCGCACGTGCAGAATGCCGCTTCCAGATCTCAGGAACGGCTGGGCCGATTGCGTTCAAATTTGGCACACCGCTAGCGACCGGTTAGAAGGGTGCTTTGCACAAGCCCGTTGGAAGTACCCTCTCGCCCTTGCGCACGTGCAGGGCTCACATCTCGCTCGCTCGTTCTTCGCCCAAAAGGCGTTTTACTGGTAGTATACTTTCCATTGCTGTTGCTTTCAATCAAAGTTGCGTGATTACGAGCGAGCGAGCGCAGCGAGCGAAGCGAAGTCTTTTCAATATAACGGAAAATTCTCAGTATGAGCGGCCCGGCCTGTAACGCTTTTGAGAGGCTTATATCTCAGCCACCGCTGGACCGATTGGCCTGCGGTCTTTTTTGTCGGGTAGCCCCATCCCTTCTACCCCGTAATTGACTACTTTTGATACATCTCAGTGACCGTCGTGG